CATCTGACCGCAAGCCCCGCTCCCCAAAGCAGCTGACTGATTGGTTTCAGGTATCATCTGACCGCAAGCCCCGCTCCCCAAAGCAGCTGACTGATTGGTTTCAGGTATCCTCTGACCGCAAGCCCCGCTCCCCAAAGCAGCTGAGTGATTGGTTTCAGGTATCATCTGACCGCAAGCCCAGCTCCGCTCCCGACTGATTGGTTTCAGGTATCCTCTGACCGCAAGCCCCGCTCCCTTTTCAGGTATCATCTGACCGCAAGCCCCTCTCCCCAAAGCAGCTGACTGATTGGTTTCAGGTATCATCTGACCGCAAGCCCCGCTCCCCAAAGCAGCTGACTGATTGGTTTCAGGTATCACCCCAACGCAGCTGACTCATTGGTTTCAGGTATCATCTGACCTCAAGCCCCGCTCCCCAAAGCAGCTGACTGATTGGTTTCAGGTATCCTCTGACCGCAAGCCCCGCTCCCCAAAGCAGCTGACTGATTGGTTTCAGGTATCATCTGACCGCAAGCCCCACTCCCCAAAGCAGCTGACTGATTGGTTTCAGGTATCATCTGACCGCAAGCCCCTCTCCCCAAAGCAGTTGACTGGTTGGTTTCAGGTATCATCTGACCGCAAGCCCCGCTCCCCAAAGGAGCTGACTCATTGGTTTCAGGTATCATCTGACCGCAAGCTCAGCTGAGTGGCCCAAAGCAGCTGACTCATTGGTTTCAGGTATCATCTGAGCGCAAGCCCCGCTCCCCAAAGCAGCTGGTTTCAGGTATCATCTGACCGCAAGCCCCGCTCCCCAAAGCAGCTGACTCATTGGTTTCAGGTATCATCTGACCGCAAGTTTCACTCCCCAAAGCAGCTGACTGATTGATTTCAGGTATCCTCTGACCGCAAGCCCCACTGCAAAGCAGCTGACTGATTGGATTCAGGTATCATCTGACCGCAAGGCACGCTCCCCAAAGCAGCTGGAATAATTGGTTTCAGGTATCATCTGATGTAGCAGCTGACTGATTGGTTTCAGGTATCATCTGACCGCAAGCCCCGCTCCCCAAAGCAGCTGACTGATTGGTTTCAGGTATCCTCTCACCGCAAAGCAGTTTCAGGTATTTTGTGGCCGCAAGCCCCGCTCCCTTTTCAGGTATCATCTGACCGCAAGCCCCTCTCCCCAAAGCAGCTGACTGATTGGTTTCAGGCATCATCTGACCGCAAGCCCCGCTCCCCAAAGTTGGTTTCAGGTATCCTCTGACCGCAAGCCCCGCTCCCCAAAGCTGACTGATTGGTTTCAGGTATCCTCTGACCGCAAGCCCCGCTCCCCAAAGCAGCTGACTGATTGGTATCCTCTGACCGCAAGCTCCGCTCCCCAAAGCAGCTGACTCATTGGTTTCAGGTATCATCTGACCGCAAGCTCCTCTGACCGCAAGCCCCGCTCCCCAAAGCAGCTGACTGATTGGTTTCAGGTATCATCTGACCGCAAGCCCCGCTCCCCAAAGCAGCTGACTGATTCGTTTCAGGTATCCTCTGACCGCAAGCCCCGCTCCCCAAAGCAGCTGACTGATTGGTTTCAGGTATCATCTGATCGCAAGCCCCGCTCCCCAAAGCAGCTGACTCATTGGTTTCAGGTATCCTCTGACCGCAAGCCCCGCTCCCCAAAGCAGCTGACTGATTGGTTTCACGTATCATCTGACCGCCAAGCCCCGCTCCCCAAAGCAGCTGACTGATTGGTTTCAGGTATCCTCTGACCGCAAGCCCCGCTCCCCAAAGCAGCTGACTGATTGGTTTCAGGTATCATCTGACCGCAAGCCCCGCTCCCCAAAGCAGCTGACTGATTGGTTTCAGGTATCATCTGACCGCAAGCCCCGCCCCCCAAAGCAGCTGACTGATTGGTTTCAGGTATCCTCTGACCGCAAGCCCCGCTCCCCAAAGCAGCTGGTTGCACCCGTTGCATTCCAAGTGTCATGTCCGTCACGAGGCCCAGTCCCAGCGGCCAATGCAAAGAGCACAGCGCGGTGTTGTGACCTGAGGCGGCTTCAGCCGCTCGAACGGAGGCGAGGGGGCGGGGCTTGAGGCGCACTGCCAGTGGTCGTGTGGGAATTTGCTCCGCCAAACTCAGGTGGACTTGTGGAAGCTCCACGCTGCTGTGCCTGGTGCCAAATGCTGGGCCTCCAGCTAATGATGAGCAACTCGATCCCAAGCTTCTGAACATCCTGGGCAGGTGATGAATGGGAGACCGTACCAGGAAGCCTAGCAATCATGTCACTGTCATGCATCGCCGGAGGTTCCGCAGCTTGGACATGTCTCAGGTACTATCCAGAATGGCCGGTCACAGTACGAATGGCAGCCGTCCGACGGGCAAGCAATGCTGCCACCTTTTAGGAATGAGTGTTTGCATTGCCTGCCAGCTAGGGAGCAATTGCTTCCGAGGCTCGTCCAGCCTTGGCTGCAAACGCCCACAGCGGCCACTATGCTAGATTCTCGAACAACCAACCCGTCCCAAACGCCAAACAACAACAAGCACCCTCCAGCTCAAGTAACCCCTCCCCTCAAAAAGAAGAAGAAAAGGACAACGGAGCGGCGTTGCCCAACCGAGAAGAAAGGAAGGGCACATAAACTTTCAAAATCCCTGAGCAAGGGTAAGAGAACACACATCACTTGACGCTTTTCACTGACTTGGGTTGGGCCCTGCCGCGGGGCAGACGGAGCGCTCGCTCCCACCGACCACGGCAGGCGCTGGTTGTGCTGCTGTACATGGCAGGCCCAGGCTCCTTGCGCCGGCGCAGAGTCGCGAAACGACTTCTGCCGCCGTCGTTTGCCGCCGTCGTTCTTGTTGCCTGCATGTTTTCGTTCAACTGTCATGCGTCCACGCATGAGAACTGCTTCAAACAGGATCGCTGCAAGCAGTGGTGCAGCCGAAGCTGAATTCCAATACTACTCCAGCGCACTGCTCGCATAAATTCGTGAAACAATGCGCGAAACCCAGAAATCAGCTGCTGTTCCGGTGCGTTGCTGGCATTGGGCAGCTGCCGCAAACGAAGCGAGACGAAAATCACGCCTCTAAGCAAACAACCCGGCCCAGCTCTAGCGTGTGCTTCGACGCCTAGAAACTCCTCGTTTGCCCCCGACAGGTTGGGATTTGCATAAAGAATCGAAGGGCACTTGGGAAGCGAGTCGTTGAGAAGAAAGCCCCGGTGCGTCCGTGGATCTCTGCTGGGCATCGGCCAGCACCTGCAGCGCTTGATCCTCGGCTACGAAGGATATTCAATCCACTTAGCAAGCGGGTAAGTTGCAACCATGGTCAACTGACTGGGGAGGTAGCTCGCTTATGGTCAAATCTTGCTTAAGCGGAACATGGGCCTTTGCGTCAGGGGCATCCTGTCACTCTTTGGACATGGTGCGACGGTACGCCAATACAACGGCATTTGTAATTTGCTTCTCTTTGGGGAACATATTTTGGCCTTGTGTGTCCGCTCTTTGACGGATTGAACGTGGCCCCTGCCAGCCTTGAAGCGGAGCGCGCATTAGGTACATCAACATGGTGCAACCTTTGCCCTTCTCTCTCCATGGGCGGGCACCAAGCAACTTTCTGGGCGTCACTGTGGGGAAGCCAGGCCTTCGACAGAAAACAATGAATGCTTGCAGCCAGTGAAAGGTGAAAACTGGTAGGTGATCATCCCATCCTCTTGGCCATAAGGATCGCTGATTGCAGCTGAGCATGCTGTCAAAATTCTTTATTCAAGCCGAGTGAGTTCCTTCCGTTCCACGTCTGCGAGCGACTCTTATCCTCGTTAGCGCTAACAATTCCAAATGCTTCGCCCAAGAAGCCCAAAGTTGCCGGCGAGCGCATGTCTTCAAATCCTTGGCTGGCCATCTGGCTCAGGCAGGCATGCCTTCTGCCACCTATGCTTCCTTCTCTGCTGCCTGCAGCACATCCAAAGCTTGCAACCTGCTCAAACGTTAAAGAAAACCTAACTAGCTCGCGATTCCATGGTGCAGCTTCATACCTGGAGTTGTCATGCTGGGAGGCCTCCTAGTTCGGCACATCAATGTGCATACTTCGTCAGAGCAGCCCCACAAACCACTCGGCCCGTAGCAAGATGCCTTGGATCAAGATCAGCAAACGACACACATACAAACACGGTGAGACTCTGGTGTGTGGCGTTGTACCCTTTTTGGGTTCTGGCTGGGGAGCATTCAGCCCACAACCCCCCCCCCCCCCGAGTGTTCAAGAAACGCTTTCAGGTCGCAACTTGTGAGCACCTTGGAAACCCCCATCTACCCGGTTGCGCAGGGGACCCTGCCAGAAAGAATCGGACCCCTTTTCCGGGTTGACCATCTTTATTGGGGAACCCGCACCTACAGCGAGCAAGAAAAACATTCTCTATTGCATGCAGAGCCGCGCCATGGCAACAGCAAACCATTGGTCTGGACAGCTTGGAATGTCTAGCGCCCGTGGGCGCAGGGCAAAGGGGCTGCTTTGGCGACAGCTGTGCCAGGAAAGCAGCAGAAGCAACTGAGGGACAGAACAAAAACATGCGGCTTGCAGATCAACATCATCTGCTCGCATCAGCTTGCAGCTTGCTTTCAGCCCATTCATCTACGAGCTATTTCGTTCTCTTTCTGCTTATCTTGCAGTAGGGAATGAGGGAATGACCCCTAAAAACCATCCCTTGTGGCATTCTTGAAAGGAATCCCTGGGTTCATTGCTTCAGCAAGTTATTTGACCTCGGAATCTATCACCCGAGCTTTGCTCGATCCGAGCGGTCGCCCACGGTGCTTTGGGGCGGGGGCGCATGCGAAGCCGCGTGCTCGTTGGCCAGTGGTGATTTCACCAGCGGACCATGCCATGCCGCCACGGCATGGAAAGAAAAATCGGGGCAACACCAGGGCTCACATCACACTACAGCTCGGGTTTGGAGGTAACTAAGTCCCTCTTTTGCAAGGCAACATGGCGTACTGTACCGTACTGTGACCCAAGCATGCGTCATGCACATTGCTCGTACAACACGACTAATTGTTTCACCTTTGCCATGCGCTTGCAACTTTATCGGGAGCACACCTGGCCTCACGGCCTCACGGTGTGGGAGTAACAACCTCACTTGGCCTTGACGTGCCGGGCGCGTTCTGAACTGATGGTGACCGCGCGGTTTCGGACTTCTGCCGCTTTGGCCACAGCAAGGCAATGGGGATATAGCCCAAGAAGGTGAACGAGTAGATGCCAGCCTTTGGAACAAACCCAGGCGAGCCGAGCACCACAAGCCGTGGTCGTGCAAACATCGATGTAGTTGCCCCATAGGGTGTCATGCCAAGGTACAAGCCACCATGAGCGACTCACCGGCTTAACCAACAGTGCCGTGAAAACGCGCGCCCAAAAGATAGATAGATAGGATTGCTGAAAGATTCGGGCAGATAGGCCGACCCATAGATAGAACTACGATCCGATCCAATCTTGCTTTATCAATCCACCCTAGTGCAGTGTAGTCAAATTCAACTTGTCACAACTCAATCTCATGTACTATAATTAACCCAATCTAAGCAACCAATACGTAGATAGATGGGTAGGCAAATGGTTAGGACTAGTCAAGATAGTATAGATCATATATCGACCATATAGACAAGATAGCGACACAGACGATATAGATGATGTGGGTAATATAGATAATCTTGATACAGACAATGCTGACAACACAGACAATATCAAGAATTGGATAACGTAGATACTATGGATAAGATAGATATGGATACTATAGATGAGATAGATACAAGCTGAAACGCAGACAAACAGCCAGACAAATGGAGACATAATATAGATTGAATTGGCTAGATCCACAGGTAGCTAGACAGAAATGACAAAACGATATCATACGGATTAGAAAGATGGGATAAATCTGCCGACGCCAGTCGAGCGTGTAGATGGCAGTCCGCAACTTGGTCTTCCTTCGGAATCTCTTATCCATGCCGAAGGCTTTTGGGACTGCTATTTTTTGGGCATGCTGCGCTAGGTGTCCAAAACCCAGTGTGTGTTGCGTCTTTCGTGCTAAAGATCTGCGTTTCGTCTAGGTCTCTAGATTATCTTGTTGCCATGAATTTGTCTCTGTTTTTGCAGATACTAGTGGTGTTTTGCTGTTTTAAGCGATGTTGGAATTGGCCTGTTAGGGGTTTGGGTGGGGCCAAGCGCAGTGATACTTTGAGGAACTGTGAAATTTGCAAAAATGAGTGATTTTTTGCAATTCCCCACCTGTACGGAGCAGTTACTGCGAAACATCCCCTGCCTTATCGTGCTTTTGGAAGTCTATTTTTAAGGTGTTTGAGGGGGGTTGCTAGTATCGGTTTTGGATGGTTGCTCTTTGGAAATATAAAAAGAAGTTTTTTGTGGCTACCGGCTGCATTCCCAGCATTCCCTACATCTCTGGTATTTTCTGTGTTTGGTCAATGTTGCGTGTCTGAAAATGCCAAGAAGGCCTTGTTGCACTTACAAAAAAAATGGGGCCTTGCTGGCCTTGCTTTTATACCCTTTCGGGGGGTGGTTTAAAGAGGCCCTAGTGTTCTTCTCCTGTCACGTGTTCAGCCCTGCGGCCGAAGTCAGAGCGGCGTGGTTTGCATTCTCGTTAAGAGCCCCATGTCACCGCGGCGAAAAATCATCTTTTTCCTTACCCAAATTCGAGGCACCCTCTCCTTCCACGTGTTAAGAGCCCCATGTGACCTAGGCAAACACATCCTTTTCCTTACCCCAAATTCAAGGCACGTCAGAGGGGCGGTGTTTGTTCTCCTCCCACGCGTTAAGACTCCCGTGTACACCAAATTCAAAGTACTTTGCCGCGACGTCAGAGGGGTGTTGCTTTGTTCTCTTCCAGGCGTTAAGGCACCCATGTGACCTAGGCAAACAAACGTCTTTTTCCTGACCCCAAACTTGAGGTACCCTGCACCGACAGCCGACGTCCGTCGTTTGGTCTCTTATCACTTGTTAAGAGCCCCATAGGACCTGGGCAAAAAATTGTCTTTCTCCCTGCCACAAATTCGGGGCATTCTGCAGCGGACGTCAGGGGCGCTGTTTGTGTTCTCCTTCCACGTGTTAAGAGCCTCGTTTGACCTAAGCAAAAAAAAACTTTTTTCCTTACCCCACATTCGGGGCACTCAGAGGGGCGCTGTTTGTTCTCCCTCAACACGTTTAAAGCCCGATGTGACCTAGGCAAAAGACGTCTTGTTCCCGGCCCCAAATTCAAGGCACCCTGCAGCCGACGTCAGAGGGCCTGGGGCGTTGCTTGTTCTTCTTCCACACATTAAGAGGCCCACGTGACCTAGGCAAAAAACATTTTTTCCCTACCCCAAAATCGAAGCAACCTTCACCCAACGTCAGAGGGGCAAGGCGTTGTTTGCATCCTGCTTCCACGCGCTAAGAACCCCACGTGACCTAGGCAAAAACAAATCTTTCCCTACCCCAAATTCAGCCGACCTCAGAGGAAGGGCGAGCTGACTTTGTGCAGCCCTGGTCTGGCAATTGTCCCTTGAGCCAGTGCTGACTCCAGATTGATCAGCCCCAGTTTATTAATGGGGGAATATCTATGGTGTACAGCAAAGATAAAATCATATCCATGATCTACACGATATATTGGATAGAGTCATTTTAGATGTACGGATGGATTGGAAAATGTACGATAGACAAGAAGCACTTGGAATGTAGATGTGATACGTTATATTGATAAGTTGGGCAAGGTAGACACACCATAAATAGATACCATAGATGCGACAAACAATGCAGCATGACAAAAACCACAAAAACCAGCGTACGATATATATATATATATAGAGTGCCATGACGGATGGCTGCAAAAAGCGGATGGACAAACGGATGGACAAACAAGAAGGCGGATGAACTATACTGGTCTGACCAATGCCCGTTGACAGCCCCTTTTTGTTGAATGCCCGGCCGTCACCACGAAGGTGAAGCGGTAGTCGCCCGCCAAGTCCGCCAAATAGCCGCCCAAAGCAGCGCTGCCTGACCAGGAGAAGGCCTGCATGGACTGGATGGAGTTCCACCTCAGTCGGAATGGGGCGAACTGGGCGTCCCGCACTCCCTGACTCGCTTTTTTCCCCCTTTTGCGCCCTGAAGCCTTTAGAGCCGAAGGCGCCTGCCCCTCGCGTCCGAAGGCACTAGGTCCATCACCACCGCCCGGACTATGGGGCCGCGGGCGTTCATGAGCGCGCCCCGCAGCAGAAACAGCGGCAGAACCAGCAAAAGGGGATGTGAGTAGCTCAGCGCCCAAAGAAAAAGAGTGCCGAAAAAGTGGAAGAAGGCGATCGCTGACAAGCGCCCCATGCGCTTGGACAAGCGTTGGCACAGCTCCATCATCACGGAAATGCACAAGGGGTAGGCAAAATTCAGAATGCACAACTGCAGGGATTGACTTGATTGATTTGTGTTTGGGTTGAGTACAGTAGGGGAAGCGTAATTAATGAAAAGCAAGCAAGCGGCCGACCTGTGCACATTCACTTAGTGCAAAAGCGCCTCGAGGGGGGTGAAGTGATAGTCCACCCGAAAGAAGAGGGGGAAGAACTTGATGGTCATCCCGGCCCCCATAAGCGTGCACAAGGAGAGCAGCTCAAAGATGCCTGCCAGGCGGAACTGCGTTGGATGGGGTTTGGAGTTGGGAAGTCGGTTTTGAGAAGGCCCGGCCAGCCATCCACCAGCGGCGTTGAACCTTGCACAGCTTCTCCGCCATCTTGTCTTGGTCGAAGCCGCTTTGCGACGCGCCGGAGGAGGTCTTCTCCAAGGCGGGCACGTCTTTCATCCTGTGGCTGTACCGGGATTGGCGTCGAACCCAAAACGGGGGGGGCTTTCTCAAAGGGAGGAGGGTTCTTGGGAAGGATGTCGCATTTCGCCACGGGGAAGACCGGGGACACTGTTTTGGAACTGCAGGGCCGCCAGAGTGGAACATTGGCCGTGGCCATAAAAAACATCCTTCCACCGAATGGAAAGCACACACCGTACAAGATCCTAAAGCACGCCCGCGTTCGAGTCCTGAAGGTCACGAAAAGCCCCGGCCAAAGCAAAGCACCGCAAATGGTCACCTTTTGGAGCAGCGCATTGCCCCAGTGGTTCTCGCCAGAGAGGAGAAGGACGCAAGCCTCACCAAACAGGAGCAGGACGCAAGCACCGCATGCAAGCCTTTAGGGGATGCTGAAGCCTGCTTTGAACGGCTTGCAAGGATGCAAGTCGTCACCATCTTCAACGACACATGCCGGGAAGCAACAAGCCAACCACGGCCAAGCTGTTCGCTATTTAGATTCAGGCATTGCAGCCGCGAATGAATGCGAAAACAAGCTTAATCACGTCTAAGTTCTCTCCAGAAAGCTGTAAGGGTTCTATCTTTAAGTGGGGAGAGTGGGTGCAACACAAGGTTTTGGCAGGGTGCAGTTGCGCCAGGGTACAGGGCCATAGTGTGACTCGTGTTTTTTGTCTGCTGCTTCCGGGTGAATTTGCAGAGCGCTTTGTGCGCAGCTGTTGGAGGGTGTAGGGCCGCATGCGGTGCAAGGTGCTGCGGTAAGGCGTCGGGCCAGAGCGGTTCAGTGGGTGCTGCTATTCTGGATGGCGCTGCAGAGGTTGCCGGCTAGTGCTCGAGGCTGTGCTTGCCAGCTTTGCAAGCATTAGCGGTTGAAGCGCCTGCTGATGACCAAGTGTGCATTAGCGGTTGAAGCGCCTGCTGATGACCTTCCCTCATGCCATGCCGTACCCTTCTCTTCAACTCAGGCATGCCCAAGAGATTCACTGAGGCATGTAGCGAGCCGTTCCCTACAAGACACTTGCGACAAGCCTCAACCCATCTGGGTCACCTTGCATCAATGACAAGACTGGGTGAGCCATAAGTGAGCCAAGTGGGTTTCAACAACTAAGTTGTTGGGTGCTACAAGCCTGGCGCTCGGAACCCGGTTTATTCTCAGCATTCCGTTCCTGCAAGGCAGGACCCGTGGCCAAGGCCGCCAAACGCGTGCTGGCCAAGCGGGACAGCGCCGTGGTGCGCTGCTCCCCGGGGGAGGCGGACTCCGAGACCAAGACCTGCGCTGCATTGATCCAGGTCTGGGAGCAGGCGGCATAGAGCCCGATGCCGACCTCGGCTTCAGCGATCTCGGCCGTGCTTGCCGTTGGGGGGAGGCACGCGTGGGCAACGGAATCTGCATAAATTGTTAAACAGGACAGGTCAGTGGTTACGATGGGCGGCCTGCGAACCTCTGCAGCCCGCACTGCTGGATTTGTGGCAAGCCGAGCTGCAAACATCAGCGGCACGTATTCCATGGCCAGCCCAAGCAAAACCACCGCCAGACCGCAGGTCCACACAGGCACCACAACCTTCAGCAGCTTCACTCGCCGCACTTTGTCCGCGAGGAAGCCCATGGGAAATGCCACGCCCAGCTGGACAAGGCCCCGAGAGGACTCCACTGCACCCACCAACTTGTTCCCATCCTCAGCCGACGAGCCAGGTCTCAGGTCCCAGGAAAAAAACATTCGCCCAGCGCGAAACTGCGCAACCGCTCCGGAAACATGCTAGCAGGGGACTGTCACACGCAAGAAACATGAGCTGTCGTTCTAGCGCTTGTTTGGACGGGAGCTTCCACCTTCCGAGGCTTCGGTGCTTCCAGACAAATCCGTCCCAATTGCGGGCTGGCTTGCCTGCTTGCGACTGCGGCTTCAATTTAAGGCAGATCCTGCGGCGAAGCGTCCTTCCCACCGATGTTCAACAACAAGGCGTCAAAGAGAGCGCCCGTCGTGACGCCAGTCACGCACACAGCGAAGAAAAGGGCAATATACGCATACAAAATGTTCTTGCGGTGGGCTTCCGCATGGTCCGGGCCAGTGAGCTGCTGATGAATCTCCATCTCCATGGGAAGCAAATTCCTCGCTGTCAGGCCTGTTTTCCTGCAGCTGTCTTAGGTGGCTACTTTCTCCATAGCGGTGCGATTTTCTGCCCTTGGCTGGCGTGTTGAAGTTTGAAGTGTGCTGAAGCTCCAGGAAACATATTTGACTTGAGCCATGTACGTCTTTCACTGCCAGAGATGCAAGGTTGACGGCATGCATTTCTTCCTGCATTGACCGGACTGAACGCACAACCTGTACCATCGAGGGCGCATGAATGAACCTCTGTGGGGGATCTCTGTTTCACTGGAAAAAAGCCACAATTGTATTTTTGTGGGCCTCTTGTCTAAGTGGACAAGCACTAAGTCGCTACGTTGCAAGGCCCCCAGCGCCATCGCACATTTTCCGGCTTCCAACCCACCCCCATCGCCCCACGTGCAACCTTTCCTCGGGAGTCAAACAAGGCGAGACGTCTCTTCGCGAGCTGAATTAAACATCTTCAAGCACGGCTCGGCAAGGCTCGCTTGCAACACCCCATTGCAAATCTCTGGATTCAAGGACTTGGACAAAATGAGGCTCTCCCAACCGGACCCGGATGCCAGCGTGGGCTTCTTTTTCCTTTTTGACCGGCGTTCCCCAGTCAGCGTGAAAGCGTCCACCGCGAGCCTGCGAGCGGAGCGGCCCCTCTACAACTCACGACGCTGGGGATCCCAGCTCAGCGCATGTCCCTTGCGAGAGTTGCCGTCGCTGGCCCGGTTGGCCTGGCAAGCCGTGGCTCCACATGGCGTGTGGCGTGTGGCACGTTCCGGTGCCCTTTTTTTGGGCACGATCCGGACCCCCTCAATGGGTGATGATGTATCTCTCCAAAGTTCGGACGGCTTCGAAAGGGAGGCAACCGTGTCGTTAAGAAGGGGTCTGGTAGGTGTCCCTTTGGCTGGTTTCCAAAAGCTCAAACAAGGGCACACTCCGAAAAAGTCAAACTAACACAAGTTCTACCTCTGCATGTCCTGAGCTAGTCACCTGGTCAGGAGCTTTGCACAACACGCTTCTACTTCACGGGTTCTCACGCAAATCTCCCATTCGAGTTTCGCGGCAAATCGCGGACATCCAGTGGATTGATGGGCCTCACTGTGGTTTCCCGCAAGAATGTCAGCACAAAAAGCCGAACTTTACTCAAGGGCAAAGGCAAGGCCTCAACCGCCAGCCTCGATCATTGGGCAGCTGAATTGCGCGAATCACCCAGCTCCTGCAGATCGCAGAGCTGCTCCAGCCATCTATACAAACGCTCACAAACAAGCCATGTTGAACGCAAGCCCGTGCAAGCCCATTCAAAAGAGTCCGTTGGACTGCGCGGCATGTGTCCTCCACACTGCCAAGTCAGCATCTCACACATCCTCAGCCCATGACAAGCAAGCACGAAATGGGGGGGGGGCTCATTTTTAAGGAGAAGTGGCCCGCTGTCTAGCAGTACCTAGGCAGGCTAAGATTGCCTGCTGGGAGGTGGGCTGAGGCACGCATCGAGAAAACGACCAACCCCGCACCCAAACACATTGGAGAAAAGGCAAGTACTTACAAGGTGTCAAGGCTTGCCGCAAAATGTATTTTGCGACTGCGACGTTGTCAGGGGGCGCTTAGCCGCACGCCAGCCAGACCCTCCGCGAGCCAACGCAGCAAGCTGGAGCCGAAACAGCAAACCCGACCTCGAGGTTCTCCTTTGCATCAAGTTGCAAAAAGGGAATCCCACCGAGACCCGAAGGACCCAAACTCATAATTTTCCAAGTGGCAGCTTGGGCATGGCAGAAGGCCATTCCTTACATATGGGCGTCACCGTGTCCAGGAAGAAGCCCCCGCATTGCTCAGAGCTATGTTACATGCAACAGTTTTTTTAATGGTGGAGAGAAGCAGGGAAAGAGACATATAAACAAGCTGCCTAACAACTGCTTTAATTGTTAGCTAATCAGTTTTCTTTCCACTGAGCCAAAGACCCTTTGCAGGATGCACTATCAAATGAGCTTGTGCAGAAAGCTGCTCCATGGTCCATAGCTGTGACAGAGTGGGAGTCCACCATTGAGAAGTTAGAGGTGTTGATGTGCCCTGTTATTTATTCAGACTTTTTTTTTGCATTTGAGTTGGCTGCAGTTGTTTTCATTCTCAAGGAGGTTTGACATAAACAGCACCGCAGCATTTTCACTCCAGCGATGCGACACGAGTCTATAGCCTGACAACCCACCTTTTCCTGTGGGATTTGCATTGGTATCCACAGCATGAATTTCCTCATGCTGTGGCCCAGTCAATTCGCCGATTTCCTCGGCACATCGGGTTTACCCCCGATAAGCTCTGGGTGCCCTGCATCAAGCAGGATACATCTCCCACCACAGAGCTAACTGACTGACTGGGGGCCTGGTCCCCCAGGCATTCCCCAAGCGCGGCGCGCTCTTCAAAGATCACGGACGTCCCAACTAGGGGGGCCGGTGATCTAGGGCGGGATAGGGTGGGGTTAAAATTTAGCCAGTTTGGATCATGCTTGAGCCAAAAGGCCCCGCATGATCCAATACACTCCTTGCAGAATGAAGCCTGTAAACCCAAGCCTTCCAACCTGATACAGGATTACATTCTCAAGGAGGTTTGACATAAACAGCACCGCAGCATTTTCACTCCAGCGATGCGACACGAGTCTATAGCCTGACAACCCACCTTTTCCTGTGGGATTTGCATTGGTATCCACAGCATGAATTTCCTCATGCTGTGGCCCAGTCAATTCGCCGATTTCCTCGGCACATCGGGTTTACCCCCGATAAGCTCTGGATGCCCTGCATCAAGCAGGATACATCTCCCAACGCACTTACTTTCACAACCTCTCCCAATGCACTCACAGGAACTCAGCAAAGGTAATCACTGCTCGGTACGGAAGCCTCAGTAGAGCTGGAGGGAAAAGACTGAAATTCAACTTGAAGTGGTTGGCCCTGTACCATGGGTCACTGGGTCCTAATCGGCTGATCGCGTCGGCCCAATTGGATTTGGATGGAATGTATTCCCAGTAAAGTGAGGCTCGCAACGCGAAGAGCAAACACTGAATATACGTCGCCATCTTGGCCAAGTCGGGGTTGTCACTCCTGCCCCTGATCAAACACATAAGACTGGCGATGTTGTCGATGAACCACACTCCGCGTCTCTCGCGGAATTGGTCGGGTCTCGCCGTAAGGGCGTGCACCACCATGAACAGCTCCAACTGGGCTATTTTATGGTCTCCTGGTCCCCACATGTCATAGGTCTGCGCGGGGATGATGGCTACAAAGGCCTCCCGAATCTGCACGCCACCGTCCTGGAAGACCAAGTGGTATCCGCCGGATCCTTGACGAGGTGCCTCCAAAGCCGCGTCCGAGGCAGCCACCACCCTCGGCACATCCATGGGGAGGACCATCAGCTCTCTCCTGGGGCGCATACTGATGATAGCCTCCAACACGTCAAAAGCCGCCAGGAGGCTGGCGTTGGTGGAGCCCCCGTACTGGTGCTCCTTCAATGCCTGGATTTCGCCCAAGCCAATGCGCCCGAAGAGGCCATGCTCCAGGAAGTTGACCATGCCGTAGAGTTTCGCAGCTTGACCCGGGGTGAACCTCCCGCTCTTCCTGGCTTCACGCATGAAGGTGAGCACCTTCTGTTCGAGTCGCTCTCGAACCCAAAACCGCGCGCGCCCATGTGTGTGGACCTCCGGGAGATCGAAATCAAGCCCCAAGAAGGTACCGACATCCGCAGCTCCCTGGCGCTTCTCCTCAGCGAACGGGGTGCCCAGCAGGTCATTGAGGGCGCCAAAACTCCACTGGGCCGATGGGCCGTGTACTGCGCGGTCTGTAATGTGACTGTCGTCGAAATACATGGACACCATAATTGCCAGAAACCGCCTGCCCATAGCTTCCGCCATCCGGAGGTGACCGCCAACGGAAGGCCGAACAAGAGGGCGTGGTACACCTGGAAGGCCGGCTCCTGCCATTCTTGGTGGTACCAAACTACCACGCAGGCCAGGGCCTCCTGTCGTGACATGGGACAGTGGCGGTAGGCATTCGGCCGCAGCTTGGACGTGGAGCGCTGGGCGGAGCGGCGTACACAAAACAAGTTTATTGGCATCTCTGGACGATGCAGACTGCCCGCCCCGTGCTGCGTCGTCTATCAGACGCTGCTTGCCAGACGCCTGTGTGATGACACAGCGAGGTATGAGCCGGTATGGATCTCCTTTGGCATACCGCTTGAGCTGGCCCAGGTTCATCGGGGGTGCAAAACCCCTCCTTGTGATCCTTTGTGGACTGCTCAAGAACGAAGGAGTCCGTGGAACCCGGCCGCACTCCTGCGATGGTGGCGGCGTTGTGCTGAGTGGGCGATCGCCTCGACGGGCTGGTGGGGGAAGACTCCGTAATGAGGGGCATAGCCCACTGCTGGAAGGCCTTTGATAAAGCCGTGAGGGAGGGCGAAGTGCATGAGGACGACGAAGAGCCCCAGCAAACCCAGATCGCGTTTCGAGGTAACTCCTCGGATGGCTTCGGACTGGAAGGCCACGAGGTGCTTGGACACCGGCGCCCACCTGCGCTTCGGCTCCTTGATGGCCCCGATGGACGCCT